AATGCGAAGATAAGCGATATTCAATGTTTATTTCTATAATCATATTTGATGATTCTGAAAAACTGAAGAACTTTTTTTTCTGCTTATTTCATCAAATTTTTTGTAAAAAATCAATTTAGAGAAAATGTACTACAAATTTATCATTCAAATTCGATCATTCTTTTTTACTATCTTCAAGTGCATTCGATCATCCCTTTCCACTATCTTCAAGTGTAGGAAATGAAATTTTTTGAAATGAATTTTTGAAATGAAATGAAAAAAGAAACGATAATTTAATTATATTATATTACATTAGCAAAACGTTGGCAAAATGACTTCCTACCTGAACATAATCTTCTAAGCGGTTATGTCGTGTCGACATGATGTTCGGTACACCGAACAGGAATGTTTATATTCGCCAAGTCATTGGTGTGCATCATCGAAATCACCAAATTTGGTTTGTTTCAAAAATTTTCCCTCTCATTATGCTCATTAAATGGAGTGAATTTTAATTAAACTTTTCGTTTTTCAGGTGATTGAAACATTCATTACCAATATGCGCTCATGTTATCAACAAAACTTACAAACAGTCCCAGTACAGGAAGCAATTCCATATGGAGGTTTCAAAATTATCACATTTTTCAAATTCATACTTTCATCCATTTACTTTCTTTCCAATTCCTCCAACAACCATATGATATCAGTTATTGAAAATTGTTTAATTTACATTAAATCTAGCAAAGTTTTCCAATTTTCTGTTCTTGGTCGTACAAATCGAGAAAATTATGGAGATTATTTTGTGAAATTATTTGCTTCAGAAGACAATTCCACTAATGATTCTCTCGAATATTTCCAGATGGCAAACAAATGATTGATATTTGGGGTGATGAATTGAAGAGTGCTGCAGGAATCGTACTAATTCATGGAGGTTACTGGCAGGTAAAATAATTTTTCATTATTTTCCTCCCTTTAAATAATTCCAATCCAAAAAAAGTATCAATTGGAAAAGAAAATGAATTTTTAACAAAAGAATTTTATTTGTTATGGTATATTTTAGATATTTATAATGATTACAATATTTGAAGAGATTAGATGAATTGTTGAAATTTTTAGGAAGGAGATCGTAAACTATTTACGAGCCCGGTGAAAGCGCTTACCGATGAAGGATTTGTAGTGGCATGCGTTGGATATGAATTCGCCATTACGATTTGTTTAAATGATGTGATAGAGCAGGTGACAAAAGCTCTTCATGTAAGTGAAAATTTGTTTATGCTTGGAAAGAGGTTAATTACATATATGAATTTTAGTTATATCAAATAATTAAATTCTACGGATATTGTTATTTTCGGATATCTATTGATTTTTGATTGATTCTGTAATTTTAAAATTTAAATTCAGCACTATAATGTATATATTGGTTGCAAAATTCGTTATAAACTTATTTCCTACTTATATTTTACCTTTACTGCAATCGTTCTTGAAGACAATTAGTAATTATGAAAGATTAGTGATCGAGAGTTATCAGAACATTAGCAAAAAATAGCATAGCGTGTAGAATCGTATGAGTTAACAAAAATTATTGACTATTTGCAAAAATTATTGGAAGTTCTGGGGAATTTTTGTAATCACTTCTATTCAAATTTAATTTTTTTTCTTTTGAAATGAAGAAAGATCAGCCTTCGATAATGAAAAAATATTAATTAATAGGTATTTAACGTCTACATTTAGTACCTGAGCGGATAATTTTTTGCAGTATATGTTTTCCTACAGTTTTTAGCAAAACGTTGGCCTTGGAAGAGGCTATCGGTTGGAGGACATAGTGCTGGGGCGCATTTAGCCATTTCTGGTAGGTAATTATCTTCATTTTAAATTGCTTCTCTCATTTACAATTTCAATTAACAAAATTTTACAAATAGAACATAAAAAATTTGGAAATATTTTCTTTTCAAGCAAGATATTCCATTTGCTTACTTTTATTTGCACTTGTAAACATAATGATTTGGCATTCAATCTAACAAGTTCCCTTACAAAATGAAATAATTGCTGATCGGATATGATAGTTATTTAATTTCATTCATTTTTCTGAATTTAATTCGTTTCTCAAACTCTTTATATCAGCGCTATTAAAGCATTAAAGCGCACAGCGGATGCGCATCGATACGAAAAAGTTGTACTCTTCTCCGGCATTTACGATCTTCATCCTCTATTGGGTACTTATATTGGTGAAGCAATCAAGTAAGGCTTATATTTAGTACTAATCATTCTTATGATAAAGAATAGATGATAATATTATGAAAGTAACTGATAGTATTTCAGTTGAAATTTAGAAAATTCATTTTGATAAGATGGAACCAAAATGTTTTCAATAAGCTGATTTCCTCAAATTTCTTTCTGATTTTTTTCAAATGTTCATTTTGGTTTTATTTGATCTTTTTTAATGACAATATTCATAAAGTTCTGGTTTTACAGGAGATAGGCAAAATATGCTTATCATTATTAAATTTTAGTTTAAGCTTGGCTGAAGCTGAAAGTCTCAGTATTGTTAACTTGGATGAAATCTCAGCAGAATTGTTGGTTGTTGTTGGTGCTGAAGAATCACCAAAGTTCAAGGAGCAAAGTCAACATATTGTCGAGAATTACGTAGGAAAACGTCACATCATGAATATATCACACTGTTACAAGGTATAGTCGGTGTTTGCAAATAAAAAACTTCTGGAACGAGTAAATTATTGAAACATTAAGACAGTTCTGATATTTGAAAATTTTGAATGATATCGAATAACCAAATGTATTTGCCGTTTAATCTTTATTAGTTTCCTAATTAGCATCATCTTAATTATTTCCAAATAAAGCAAATGTCCGGCATTCCAGATCATTCCGGATGAAGATCATTTTACTTTGATCGCTAGTTTGGCTGATAAAAATTCGGCAGCAGTAAGAGAATTGCTCCATTTTATGCTTCAAAAATAACTTCTCAGAATCCCTAACTTTGATTCGTCACAATCTATGCAATACATTGGGTCAAATCCTCAAAAGAGAATTACCAAGTGAGCAACATTCGACCTTTCTGCCGTTATTTCGAAATAAACTCCAATTCCATATTATTATTAATTTTTTGTACCGATCCTTTTAATAAATATGCCATATATTATTTATGCCAAATTGTCATAATTATTTGATTGCTTGAAAATGAAATGAGTAAAAATATTGATTAAACGAAATATTGAGATATAAATGAAAAATATTAAAAGAAAAATATAAATGAAAAATATTGAAGAAACAATCATTTTTTTTCATATTCTGCAATCGAAGAGTGTGGTAGCCAAGAAGATTGGTTGCCAGTGCAATCCTATTTGGTGCATACTGCTTTCATATTATGAACGAGAAAGATTCAGCACTTTCCGGAAAACTCTTTATGTGGATTGAAGCTATCTCATTAGCTAGGTTATTTGATTCAATGCTTTTGGCGTATTATACCATCAATTGTATGTTTCTTCCAATCAGTGAAATGACAATCTTTCTCTTTTCAAATGTGATGCATAAACGATCCATGAAGCAAACTGTATTGTTATCTTTGTAGGATGATTTTAAATTTGGTTACATTGAATATATTCATCATTATCTTATCACAGTGCTACAGGAAGAAATCAACGAAAAGAGATCATGTGAGTTTCTAAAAGAGTGAGAATTAAGGATGAATTAATCACAGATATGAAAAAGTATCACGTGTGTTGGATGAAATTGTTTTCGTCCTCAATTTGCAATAAAGCACAATTGCCTCACACTCATCCTCAAAGATAATATAGCAAAACTTTGAGATTTCGCTGTCAAAGGTGAAAGATGAACAGACGGAAAAGACGCAATCTTCGATGGAGAATGTATCGGTGGAGCGAATGGAGGAGGATTCGTTCGCAAAGAAAACACCGATAAAACGTTTAGCTAAGCGAAGTACTGAGGTAAGTGGATAGAGAAGAGAAATTGTTGACAACTAAACCACGGTTGAATGATATCAAAGTCAAAATATTGAAGTAAGCTGTGTGAAAAAAATTATCGCTTAATGATGAAAGATCATTAGATTTATCAGGAAGAAATGTTCGATGGGATTTAGCGACTCATGTAAGCATCAGTTACGTGTGCTAATCTTTCATTATTGTTAAGGATGCAAAAATTTGCAACAAACTTCAATTACAGATTCGATTAAAAGCACCGGTAGAGAGGGAACGAGAAGATTATGAAACATTTAAGGGAATTAAACTGCCAATGAGTGATGCAATGAGTGATGCTGATCTTGAGAAATGATCGCAAATATAACTCATATATTTACACATTTCCCTCAAATATTTCTTGTTTTCAATCATATCATTAAAGAAAAAAAGTGTCATAAAATAAATATTTCATCTTATCATGCATCTCTCACTCCTATATCAGATCAAAATTATGACAATCCATATATGCTAAAATAAAGGAGTGGGAAGTGGTGAAATTTAGTTTATCAACTTATCAGCGGTGCAATGTAGGCAATGAGTGATTAAACCATTGTTTTACTCTAAATATTTATAATGTTAAGTAAAACAGAAATTCTATTTGTTTCCTCACTACTCAATGAAAGAAAGGTACTGGAAATATCGAAAAAGTATAGCAAATAAGATACTGTTGAGACTTTTTAAACATAATTTATTTCTCTCATGACACATGAAAGTGACGTAGTTGAGTCTCTTCAAAAAGTATTCCTTGACGAATTCTTCGAAATTTTATTTAACATATCTCATTGAAATTTCCTGGTAAATCACTTATCATCAGTATTTAAGCGATCTTTCTATGAGATTGGTGCTTTGCATAAAATCTCGATCAGGCCGCGTTTTTAAAAATTGAGCTCGGTGTTGGTATGGGTGCGGAAGGTCAAAGTGCTTCGGGATTGGGGGA